TGCAAACTTGTTTGTTATCTGGAATGAATGGGAATCTGGCTTTGCTGGGAACAAACCAGCAAAGAGCTTTACTGCAGCTGAAAGGAACTCCAAGGAGAACAAGTTCGTATACTGTAGAAGGAAGCCCTTTTGGCAATGTGTCGAAAGAATAATAAGGACCAGGTCTGGTAATGCTCATGATGCCATCCACACAGTTTATGATGTGTACAGACAGGAGAAGACTGTAACAAAGATCCTAAAGGCTCTTACAAAGCATGAAAGGGAAGGTGGACATGCCCGGTTTAGGTAGCTGGTTGATTGCTGCGTTGCTTCGATTCGGTTACGTTGCTTCGATTCGGTTGCGTTGCTTCGATTCGTTGCTTTGCTTCGATTCGTTGCTTTGCTTTGATTCATTGCTTTGCTTTGATTCGTTGCTTTGCTTCGATTCGTTGCTTCGGTTGCTTCGATTCGGTTGCTTTGCTTCAATTCGGTTGCTTTGCTTCGATTCNTTGCTTTGCTTTGATTCGTTGCTTTGCTTCGATTCGTTGCTTCGGTTGCTTCGATTCGGTTGCTTTGCTTCAATTCGGTTGCTTTGCTTCGATTCGGTTGCTTTGCTTCGATTCAGTTGCTTTGCTTCGATGCGTTGCTTCCATTGCTTCCATTTCTTCGGTTGCTTCGTTGCTTCGGTTGCTTCGGTTGCTTCGGTTGCTTTGTTGCTTCGGTTGCTTCGTTGCTTCGATTCATTGCTTTGGTTGCTTCATTGCTTTGGTTGCTTCGATTCATTGCTTCGGTTGCTTCATTGCTTCGGTGGTTGCTTCGATTCATTCTTGCTTTGGTTGCTTTGCTTTGCTTTGCTTCGATTGCTTTGCTGCGATCCGTTGCCTCGGTTGCTTTGCTTTGATTTTCTTCATTAAATAGTATTAAGTGTGACTGCTTTTTCTTGTTCGAAGTATTGTTAGTAGTAACTAGTAGTAACTGTGACTGCTTTGTTGCTTGATTGCCTTAACAAGAGGAGCAAGTTGAATAGCTGATAAGAAGATGGCCCCACCATTGTCGTGACGTGATATTGTCGAGAATTACCTTCACGACTTGCTTTTTTTTCTGTGGAAATTCTATGGAAATTGTCTTGTCCAAAATTGTGTCAGTAATTATTCTCAACTGATGGGCATCAGTTGAGGGATTTCGATACTGTGCTGGTGAGTAGGATATTAGCGAAGTGTACGTACGTAGACTTGTACATGATTCTATACTGTTGCATTTTTTGTTGCATTATGGTCTAATACCCCCACGGTAAAAGCGCTGAGCGAGCTCTTCCACAGTTACATCACAATACAAGAGCATACCATTGTGTTTTTGGTCTTGTTTTGTTGCACAACCATGACCGAATGCACTACTTCGCAGCAACAGGCATGGTTCCTGTATGCAAAGTATCCTTTGTTTTCGCAGTGGGAGTTTGCGTTGAAAGGCGGCAAATCTGTTGAGGGCGAAATCTACTGCATTGATCCGGAGGCAGACCTGATTGTAGTCCAGGATGTGGAGAATGGCATCACCATGATCTCTCTGGAAAGCATCGAGGCCGAGTCGCCGTCGTCAAGCTGCGCCGGCAAAAACGAGGAAAATACCAACGCTAGCTGCGGCACGACGATTGTGGACGAACCATCCATCGACGTCGTCCACGCGAAAAAGACACTGGAAGATCGAGAGAAACGGGCGATTCGCCTGGCCCAGGAGAGCCTCAAACATCTTAATCCTAAGGTGCGTATGTCACGACGCGACACATTTGCGACGGAATATCCACAACCATCAATTGCATTATTGTATTTTTTATTAAAATCGCTTGTTTCATTGACCAGGCAGAAACCTATCTATACCACCACCCCCACGGCAGCTATAGTATGTCGTATTTCATTGCAGGCATCTCTCACCCATTGCCGTTCCTCTTCTTTTATGGTCCGTTATGGGATGCGATGCATTGTAATGCGATTCAATTCAATTGGCATAGGCCCTGCCCAAGGGACAGCTGGTCTTTGATCGGTTGCTGAAAGCGTGCAACGAGGTCGTTTGGAAGAGTAACTCAATTGTGGTCTTGGACTCGATTGTCGTTGATCCCCCCTATACACAGGGGGATTGCAAAATACTCGCTAAGGCGCCTGGCAAACAGGGTAGCCTCGATCGGGTGCAAAAGATTGTTTCCAGCATTTCCAGGACTTAATTACTGTGGAACGTAGCATTGTTCTGTATTGTGCGATGTGATACTAAGCTGCCCGCAGTGGCTCCCGCATCGCGAGGGTTCGATCAGAGAACCAGAGTCCCGGTCGTGTGTTTTGTGGAACCGAGCGATGCTCGATTATTATTACTACTAGTATTATGGTTAAACCAGAGAGATCTCATTCGCCGTGAGGTGGAAGTCCGAGAGCAATAAACAAATATCGTCCGCTCTGAGCTGTGTTGCGAACAACCAACTCTGTTTTGATAATGCAATGGGCTGTTGGCTCGGTCCCTAGCCGATAGGGTGGAACTCCCACGTTCCTTATCGACGCGATGAAATAACATCATGGAGAGGTCAACGTTCTTCGGTTTGTTTCCTGTGAGTTCGTTTTGCTGCCAACGAAAACAACATTGTTTCTTCCTGTGTAATGGGTTGACCAGCGGACCGGTGGCGCTGCGGTCCATCGTGTCGTACCGTCTAGATTGCTTCTTGGTTGTTCTGCACTATTACCGTTACTGTATTGCTACTCTTGCTTATGTTTGCGATAGTGGTCCTGCCTGAAGATTTACCTTTGTCCTACTCAACACTGAATAATAAAAACTGTTCCCTCCAGTTGCAGAAGAAGACTACAAACCAAACCAATAGTTGCATTCAGTCTTTGAACCAAAGGCAAATAATCAACAGCAGAGGCATCTCCATTTGGTTATTTGATTTCCACAAATATTTCAAACGCGTCAACAACCAATTTCATTGCATCTTCAGTGATATTTCCAGGCCTTGGTCCCTTCCTTGCAGGTGGATCACCAGATTGACCTTTTCTCACCTATCTCAGAACAGTTTTGTGGTTCAACACAGCTCCAAACTCAGAATTGACCATCTTTACAATTGCTGCACTAGCACTTGGCCCCTTGCCTTTTGGATTGTCTTTTGCCTCCTTGTAAAAGTGTTGTTGCTTTGATGTGTGCTCTTGCAAGGTTTTCATGCTTGATTCTTTTGTTTGAACAGTTGGTGTGTGCATTTGGACATTGTCTTTGGCTGTCACTTCTTTGTTGCTACCAGGAGTTGTGCCGGGGATCACTTTGCAACCAGCAGTGTCAGCAGGATTCACATTGCCAATGTGAGTGTTGGAAACAGACGGAGTTAAAGGAGGAGCTTTTTCAGTCTCAGCTTCAGCCTTTTCCTCTTTTCTTTTTGTTCCAAGTCTCTGGACTTGCATTTGCAATCTTTTCAAAATCCACAGCCTTCATCATTTGTGTAACAGTAAAAACATATGGATTCACGATGAGCTCTGCTGCTGCTTCCAGCTTATACTTGAGTTCCTCATCTGGAGAAGGTCTGGGAATGATAGTGGAAGTGGTACTAGCATTAGTACTAGTAGCAATCCATTTTGCACCAAAACGAGTAGTTACACTTAGTACTAGTGATTTTGCTATGAGTAGGAGCTATGATTTTGCTTTAAACTAAACAAAACAGAGAATTAGTAGGCAATAGATCCATTTAAAGCACTTGAGCAATACGGAAAGAATAACTACTGGAACTGGAAGCTCTAAGAGGGAAAATCAGCTCAAAATTGATTCATACAAACAATTTGTACAAATCATTTTCCTTTTTGTAGAATCCTAACAATCCTACGTTTGTGTTTTGTGTACATACAATTAATACTACAGCAAAAAATCTTATGTACATCCGTAGACTACATAGTACTGGGGGAGGAAAGGGGGAATAATTTGAGTTTTTTAATCGTTAATCTGTTGCTTTGAACTTGATCAAAACAGTCTTCATGAGACCATAAATAGGTGCTCTAGTAGAAAAGTGGCTTGCCAAATGAGATCCCTTTTGGCGATATGCTCAGTCATAGTGTTAAAAAGAGTGCTGTGTGTCATTGCTACATGTTAGCAATATTAGGCCAAGGGGGAGTCAGTTCTCCATTAACACCAGGTATGGCCAAAATTGGCTGGTTTCCAAGACCGCCGGCTGGTTAGGAAATAGGTCAGATCTTTATCAAAAGACACATTTATACCACCAGACTAAGCGCCCAGTCCAAGTATAGATCCATGTAATTGGGAAGCTGAAGGATTCTATGGTGACTTAGAACTGGTCTACCAAAGTTACACTAGTGCTTGGCCTGAAATTGTGCATTAATTCTAGTTGTAATTTTATATCAAATTAACTGGTACACAATTTGTTGAGCAGATTACGTGTAAAAATAGCTTGAGAACGTGCAGTACAAAATTCCCTCATGATAATAACATGGAGCTCCACAGGTACATTTTCTAGTTACAATTAGGGTACATGTGCTGTGTGAGCTCCTCCACAGTTATATAACATAACTGTGGAAGAGCTCTGCTCTCAGCACTACAAGTACTATCTTCAGCAACACCAACAACAAGTTCTCAAGCTTGGTACTAGTTGTGTTGCTTAAGATGGTACTTGGAGTAACAACCTCACTTCCATCTCAAGTTAAAGCTCTCAATCTCAGTGATGTTACTGGTGTACCCAAATTGTACCAGAAAATGTAATCTGTTGAGGTCTGTGTTATTATCATAGACTTGAACACAGTACATTTTCTAGTGGAATTTGGTTACTACACACATTGTGCAAGCTACTAGCTCCACAGTTATATAACATACTAACCATTGAGCAGCCCAACATTTCCACATGGTATCATTTAGGTACAAGATTTTGTTGAGCAACTTGTACACGCAAACAATAGTTGATTTTTTGCTGAAGTGCATGCACCTCAACTGGTTACTACAAACCGTGAAGACTGAATTTTGTAAATTGAATGTTGTAACCAAACCCTTCCCAAAGGAGAGCCCATATTTGTTGAACCATACTACTAGTACTAGTGTGGTTACAAAATAGGTCTGGTTACAAAAATAGCACACAGTGCACTTGTGTGCACTTGTAAACTGGCAAATGCACCTCCACAGGTACACAGTTGTTTCTTAGTAAATTGGGAACATAGTACAAACTCATCTAGAAAATACATTAGAAATCACAGTATGGTACTATATATCAGCAACTTGTATCACATCAGTGTCTTGTATCAGCGTCTCTTATCAGTGTCTCTCATCAGCAGCTACCCCCTATTAGTGTCCTCCGTAGCAGCAGCTCCTCCTTATCAGCAATGCAATTAATTGTCAACTGTATCAGGGAGCATCCTTCATGTCTTATTAGGCTCCACAATTACCCAAAAGATACCAGAAAATGTACTCTGTTGAGGTCTGTCTTAGTTGTATGGGATTTGTACTGTGTTAAAGGGTCATTAAGTGACTTCTTACAGTCATACTGGAACGGTTCAAATGGGCTTGTGACCAACAGTGTAGGTACACAAGTATGCTAACACATACTTCTGTAGGAATCATTGGTTAGTCACAATTCAGTCTTAATTGTATGACCTGTAACAAGATACAATCCATTTGTATGGATCCAATTGTACATGTGATATGTGATTCAAACAGTCCATGTAAATTCATTCAGTTTAGTCATAAAACCAAGACATTGTGCTTAGGAATTGTACAATTGTTGATAGGAATCACATGATCCTGATATCACCAGTGTAGTTGGGGCTTGTCTGCATAATCATATGAGTCTACTCCAGAATTCATTGACACTACATCCTCACATTAGCCATTGATCTGAATCACAAATGAACTTCATGTCCATTTGACTTCTTTACCTTGTAGAAGCGCTGAATACAATCACCAGTATCATTGTTCTTGAAGTGTTTTGCAATGATTTGGTAGACTCTGTGATTGTCAGCAATGAAATCTTTGCTGTTGTGAGTGGTGCACCCAATGAGATACTCATCCCAAGATTCAAAGATGTTCCCAAGTCCAACATCACTGTATATGTGGCTGTTTGGGACATTGACCTCATCACATATGACATAGAGAAGTGGAGAACCAGATTAACACCGGATAGCTACAATATGTGCCTGAAGTGCCTGGTAATTGCACAAGCAAAGGAGGCTTGGCTTATTCTCCTTTTTTGCAATCTTCTCCTTCTACCTTTCATGAAGTATCCTATCCAAGGTATGATCCAACTCATTAGGATGGTTGAATCAGTCAATTGCACAAGCCCTCTTTCCAACAATAAGGTAAAATGCAATCCAACTCAAGAGTAGCTTGATGTTGTTGAAACCCACATTGGTCGATCAAAACACATTTGGGTTACGCTTGTTGAATTCTGTACAGAAGAACAGGAGAGAATCCTTATCATGGCCACAGATCTTCTTCATAGAAGTCCACCCTTATCTAAACAACTCATTGACAGTAGTCCAGGAGATCTCCAAGCTCAACAGCACCTCATGGAAGTTGACTTCATCAACAGTGGGCCTAGCACCTCTGGAATATCCTGGGATGCCCTCTTGCATATCTCTATCTTCATCACCCTCAGGATCATCATCACCACCATCACCACCACCTCCAGGCCCTGCCACATCACCACCATCACTGCCACCTCTGGGCCCCGTCACACCTTTAGGTTCATCAGCACCTTTAGCTCCATCCTTAATCTTAACCAAATAACAAGCTGTCACTTGCTGTTTAAAGCTGCAATCATCCACATTAAAGGTAAGCCGCATCAAAGCTCATTGATGGATTTGAAGACATTGAATGGAAGCTCGTTGATACATTTAATGCATGTCAGTTGTGTTTCAATGGAGGGTGTACTAATAGCTACATTGAATGTTAAATGGATTCTGTGTTTAGAGGAATGGTTGCTGTTAGAATCCAATTAGTAGAATATGCAATTTTGTGATTGAATTTATATGCTATTTAAACCATCAGGTTGTTACCAGTCTCTCTGTTGTCTTCATTACGGATCTCATGGACTTGTCCTAGGAACAGGGAATACTTTCACTGTTGCCATGGCTATGTCGGTCTCCTAAGTAACAAGATAAAAAATATCATATTTAACCTTGTGAACTAGAAGAGGCAATATATGGCCAGAACCATAGCTTTTGGTGTAAAGTATGCTCCTAGCTGCTCCAAGGGGCTGCACTTCCCTCCAAGGAGTTTTGGTGGAAGTCCAACCAGGGGTTGGTTTTGCTGGGTTTAAAAGAATTGAGTCAACTTGGTTTGTAGTGAATGGGAAGGAGTGACAAAAGGAGCCAAAGAAGTGTCTGGCACTGCAGATTGTTTGTGACATTCTTTTTGGAGTAGGCGTCAAAGACCAGCAAATCTTGTGTGACACTCTCTGGTGGTTGTTTACTATGAGGCAAA